CCGGCAGGGGGACAGTTAGGGCATGACCAGGTCGGCAGGGGGGCAGTTAGGGGGCGACCAGGCTGGCGGGGGACCAGTTAGGGGGTGATCAGGCCAGCAGGCAGGCAAGCAGTTAGAAGCCAACGGTCCCGGATTGCAAGAGGGATGTCCGACTGCCAGTTTAGGCTCCAGGGATCGGGAGTCAGATATCCCCTGAGGGGTCCCAGATTGGAGAGGGTGCAGGCCGGGCTGAGGGACCCCCACCATGCAAGAATTTCATGCACTGGGCCTCTAGTAATAATAAATGATCACACCAGTTTTCTTTAACATTCTTAAAAATTTTTTCCCTTTACTATGTATATTTTAACAGCATTCCAACTCTCTTAGGACAATTGTTTTTCATAATTTTTTTTAGCTCTTAATAGATTTACATGTAATTGTAAAACAATACAGCCTGGCCAATATGGCTCAGTGGTTGAGTGTCAACCTGTGTACCAGGAGGTCACAGATTCCTGGTCAGGGCACATGTCTGGGTTGTGGATTTGATCCGCACAGGGGATGGGGGACATTTAGGAAGTAGCTGATCAATGATTCCCTCTCATCATTGATGTTTCTATCTCTCTCTTCCTCTCCCTTCCTCTCTGAAATCAATTTTTTTAAAATTGTTAAAAATATATTTATTGATTTCATAAATTACTAGTATAGATTCTTAAAATGACAAAATGATAGAAATGGAGAACAGATTATGGTGGCCAGAAGTTGGAAGTAGAAGGTGCTGGGGACTTGAAAGGTTGGCATGAGGATAGTCACAGGAATGTGCAAATTGTCCGGGACTCCGTCACAGTAACAACCAAACAGCAGGCTGCATGGGGTGACCAGGCCAGCAGGGGGGTTAGTGAGGAACGACCAAACGACTGAACAGCAGGCTGCGTGGGGTGACCAGGCCAGCAGGAGGGGCAGTTAGGAGAGATCAGTCCAGCAAGGGGGGGGCAGTAAGGGGCGACCAGGCCGGCAGGGGGGGCAGTTGGGGGTGACCAGGCCATCAGTGGGGGCAGTTAGGGGTGATCAGGCAGGCAGGCAGGTGAGCAGTTAGGAGCCAGTGGTCCCAGATTGTGAGAGGGATGTCCCCTGAGGGGTCCTGGATTGGAGAGGGTGCAGGCTGGGCTGAGGGACGC